TTACCATCACACTTATCAGATTCTTCTATTGGAGATCCACCTTAAATCAACAACCCATTTCCCATCGAACAAATCAGAAGGCCTGAACCTGCCTTCATCCTTCGTCAAATGCAATCTAGGTTTTAGCTACTGGCTCTGAATAATCATTCATCTCAATTCCAGGTCAAGCGACATAGCGCCAAGTGGTCTTCCTGTTCTAACTCTGGTGGCGGAACTTCGTATGTATAGGTCCAAGTTTTGGTATAGCCCCTATATAACGGTACTTCCCGATATTCAGTATTTTGATAATTTTTGTCCCTTTTTCCCCCAAATTTGTCAAAAATTTGAAGAACTACATTGGGTTCTCGCTTCGGTGGGAGAACATTGAATATCTAGGTCCATGTTTTCCTTATAACGGTATCCACCGAAATTCGTTGTTTTGATAATCCTAGTCACATTTACCCACGAATTTGTTTCAAATTTTGTATTTAAGAAGATTTGGTAGATGACTATCCTTGAAGTATAAAATTGTTTAGAGGTTCCCGTTTTGGTATGGTCCCATATAACGGCCTCACTCACCTTATGGTTTTTTGATAACTTAACTGCATTGTCCAAGTGTTCTTACTGGTACATGAAGTTTAAAACGGAACCCGCTTGAATTCAGATATTTTTATATAAAAATGTTTGCTTTACCCTAAGGTGAGGGTATTAAAATTTGGACCGAACTTAATGTTTTTTTACTTATTATACAAGCAAATTGAAAACATTTTCATTTTGGAGACAAATGTTGCAAATTTATGTTTTTTTTTTTTTTTTTGTGGCTAATTTTTGTGATTTTCAAAATAAAAATGTTTTTAATTTGCATGCACAAAAAAAATCGCTGGATTATCATAAACAGCTGACTGATTGTCGTAGGAAGATGTAAAGGAAAAGTTGGAAGTGAATGGCAATTGCAAATTAGAGGTCGGCAAGAATTTTTAAACCCTCTTAAAGCCGTTAAATGCTTAAATTACATTCATTTAATATAACACATTTTCATAGGAGACACCAAACTGTTATAATTTGACATTTACTCATTCCATCATGTTTATCTTAATATTTGTCAAAAAAAAAAAAAAATACGAAAACGGAACATAACAAAAACACAAGGAGAGAAAACGCCACAAATTGCGTTACTCTCTCGTTCTCCAAGTAATGCTAAAAAATATGGTTGCCATTGTGAATTTTTAAAGGAGTTAGGGATTTTTGTAAAATGATTTGTTGATAAAATTGTTTAAGAATAATGTTTTGTCTTTATTATCATACATTTAACCCATACTATACAGAAAAAAATCGATAAACAAGTAGACCGCTCAAAACACACCTAAAAACTAACCATGTCGGCCTTACACACTTTAGAGGATGAAGAGATTTCTGTTTTACCTATCAGCGAATAAAACATTCAAACGTTTGATTTGCTTATTGAATTTTTAGCGTTTTCTTTATGTCACGATTTATATATTATAAAGGCGATGATTAGAATTTTTTAATGTATACGTCTCCACTAACTTTGTTTTAAGAAAATTATTGCCTCCACCTAAAAGGCCCAGACTGACAAAAATGTATATTTTAAATTTAGCTGAGGACTGATTTTATTTGGCATTAACTATTTGAAGCACTCGATTTAAAACCCGACATTTTTAATTCTCTACAATTGGCAATCCTAAGCTGATAAGTTTATTTTGTCTCTCCCACCTCTCGCTCTCTTTGAGAGAATTCTTTGTATTTTGCCAAACAAACCATGGCAAATTGCATACGGGCCAGCCAGAACGTACCGTTAGTCTTTCCCAAACACGAGTCGAGTCAACAAGTTGAAAAGCAAAGCATTCAACGAGAGAAATTCAGAAAAACGAGAACAACAGCGGCTGTAAACAGCGACGACGACGGCGTCGGCAAAATTCTCGGGCAGAGAGAAATAAAAAGAAAATTGTGTAAAAAAAAAAACAATAAATTATCTAAAAGTAAAACAACCAAACGGTAAAAAAATGAAAATTATAATTTGAGTGTGTGCAGTGATGCGGCTGCGACAACGAAATCAAATAAAATTATTGCCCCATTAAAGAAAAAGTTAAATTTAGATAAGAATTTTATATTCATTTCGCCTACTTGGGTTATTTTTGGCATGACATATTTTCGTTGGCTAGGAAAATAAAAAATAATGCAAATAAAATGAAATATAAAAATGAAGAATTTTACAAAGTGATAATTGAAGAATTTGCATTTACCGTGACAAAGAAGTTTTTGATGCATGCACTTGCAAGAAGAAAACTGTGATTTGTGTGAGTGTATGTGTGTGTGTGTTTGTGCGAGGAAGTGAAGCACAATGAACAACGCAGAAAGTGAAAAACCAGAAAAAAAATCTCAGAAAATCTACTTTGATTTTTTTTTTTGGCAAGCGAACGCATTAAATAACAAATAAAAAATATCACAAAGAATTAAACCAAACATTTTAACAAATCAACCACCACCAAGCAGACGCACAGACGTACACACAACAGCTGAGTTGACTTGACTGCTGCCAATAAACCAAAAATATTAAAAATAACACACGCGCTGCTATTGTCGCTGTCAAAAATGACCGAAAAAGAAAGAACACCACACAAAAAACAAATGTCCCATCGTCCCAGTAAAAACAACAACAACAAACAGCATTAATTGCAACAACAGAACATTTTTTGATTTTTCCTTCACTAGATAATCTTTTTCATGAGCACACCCTACACCATTCTGAGGGCATTATAAGATTGGATACATTTTTGGTACTTGAGATGTTAGGAAAAGATTTAGAACAAATGGGGAAAATAAGTAACATTGAATGAGCGTGGCCAAGACCATGTACGCTGAACATATGTACTTGGTAGGGTTTTCCTCAATAATCTACCCTGGAGAAAAATCTTAGTCGGCATGATGGACTACATAACTTGTAGGTCTTCCGAAAACAGCAAGGCATGAATAAGAACAAACGCAAAAAGGCTAAACGACATTTCTTAAGTCCAAAGAGTGAGTTAAAGTTTTGTTTTTATTATTCTGTGGGAGATCTTCAGGACTGTGTATTGCATTCTCAAAAGGTTTATCTTCCCTCTCCTGTTGGAAAAATACGAATCCAAGCATTCTTAGACTCCAAAAAATTAGTCGTTTGATGCACGCATATCTCCAAAGGCGATCGGAAACAAAACCCTCCAGAATATTTTCGTGATAATATTCGGCATTTATTCTGATGCCACGGCCGATTAATAAGAGAGGAAAGCGACCATCGGCTGTTATAGCGGCCCACACCATCACCATGGCCGGCGCCTGAGTTCTGGTGGCCAACTGAAGGTGCACATTTTCAGCTGACCTCTTTGGCAAGTAACGATCATTTTGTTTGTTAACAAACTGCTGGACAATGAATGTTTTCTCATCGGAGACGGAGATACCCAAATTCGAAAGTTGACCACTTTCGGCCAAGCGAAGCAACTCTTTAGCTCTTTTGAGTCTATTTTCTTTCTGTTGCGGTGTATGTTCATGCACTTTTTGGAATTTCAATGGCTTTACCCCGGGCTCATTTTTCAATATTTGCCGAATGGAATATTGCGATATGTTCAACTCATGAGCCATTTTTCGGCCACTGCGACGCAGGTTACGACTAAGTCGCTTCTTTACTTTTCGAACCATTTCTGCTTATGTTGCTGTTTTCTTCCGTCCACTTCTTGACGTCGGGCTACGCTACCAGTATCACGGTAAGGAGCAATGGATTCATTCACATTTAAATGCTGGAGTGCTCTAACGATAGCCACTTGTGGTTTTCCAGCCAAATATAAATAAATCACATTATCACGCTTGAATTCCATAACAAATAATTTTTATTTCTGGAAAATTCTCACCAAAATGCTTTTGTACGCTTGTAAACAATATAATGAGCTGTCACTGGAATAATTTTAACAGCTGTCGGACGAGTGGCTTAGAAATGACAACAGTCTGAAGTTGGTTGCAGTTTTCTCATCTCACCCTGTATGTAGCGTGATGGCCAGGAATGCATTTCACTTGAGTCCAACTAGCCAACAGTTTATTGTTCCATATGTTATTAAAAAGTTAATTAAAAAAAAATATCAGAAATAACCAGAGGTGATCGGATCCCGAGTGTGGGGAATTCAGATTTGATATATCCCAACAATAAAGTGTTGGGATTTTATAGCGTGGCTTGTAAAATCCTTGCTGTTTAATTTCTTTACTTTCTAAAGATTTTCATTTTAGAGTGTGGTGTAGGATACTGCACCAATCGGCTATTATCAAACTTTGTATATTCATCAGATTTTTTTATATTTTTGTGTGGTTTTCTTTTTTTGGGTCACCATAACCAAACGAAAAGCAAAAGTAACAAAATGTTTTTCGTTAGTTTTCGGTACAACATCTTTGAAAAAAATAGTTTCGACTTTTCTCTTATAGAAAATCGTGTTTTTCTTTTCACAAACCAAAAGAAGAAAAAATTAATAAACTATAAATAATTGAATAAACAGAAAAAAACCAAAACATATGAGAAACATCAAGCAACGACAAAGGCCAAACATCAAAATAAATGAAAGAAGAAAAACATCAATGACAAAGTGATAAAGTGACTGAACAACAAGCCCCCCAATAAACGCGCGGTCATCATCTGACATAGGGAAAACTAGGAAAGGAAACAAGTAAACAGAGAGAGAGAGGCCTTAATAATTTCTCCCCAAGGCAAAACCACTACCTTTTCCATCTCCTTTTCTTTTGTAATTACCCTCTAAATCGTGTTGCAAACACTCAATCACAATTAATGGATGACGAGTTGGAGGATAAAGTTTTCTATCAAACCTACGTTTCACACATGAAGATACTATCGAAATTTGCCGTGGGCTTTTCGTCCCTCAATTCACCGTTGGCATATTTCTGGAAATTGTGTCGTCTCTATGTTTTTCGTCCCGAGGTGATATTTTGCGGTGTACTCTTATTCTTTTTACTTATCTATTTACAAGCTGTTGACACATGGTCTCGCGGTCTCCTGGGCCGTATACAGGCTACGCTCAGTGGCCGTCAAAAATCAAATCGTCTAAAGCTATTGGAAGCCTCCGGCCAAGGTGATCATCAGTCATGGGAAGCAATACGCAGCCAGAGTTCAGCGTATGCGATATTGGGACGTAGACCACGCATGGAAGATCGGTAAGTGGAAAAGCAAAAATTGTTCATACTCATTTATATTTTTAATAAATTTAATTTTAAGGGATGTTGATAATTATATATGAAGTAAGGCATGAGCGCTTTTCTATAAAAATTAAAATCGAAATTCATAACTCCTTAAATTATGAAAAACACAACCACACTGAAAATTTAGTAACTCTGAGCAAAATTTAATGCTTGGAAATATGTCAATTCAACAGTATCATTAAAAGAATGCCAAAAATTTTCCGAATCGAAAAAGTCCCAATTTCGTGTTTATGTCCTCCTACATATGGTCAACATTTATTAAGAAGTTATTGATATAGATGTTATCCAAAGTTAAACATTTCTGCCGAATTTTGATAGAGAACAGTTACTATTTTATAAGGAAGCCATACAAGAAGACTTGATCCTAGTTTGAAAAAATTTTGCATCTTGAAATGCAGTTACAACTTGACAATACCTAACATTAAGGAAACTTCTCTCAAATCGGCCATATTTATAAGTGAAGCTGTATTGGAATGGTTGAAAGGATTTTTCAGGATTCATCTTTGAAGAGGTATTTTATATATGGGAGGTCTTAAGGAAGACCTTCTGCAGATGATCTTCAGAGTTATACAAATACAAAACGTTTAGAAGGCATTGAAGGCGTTCTTTCCATCAAGATTCCGAAATATTAAATCACAAATGTTTTCCGCCTTTTTGAACAGTCGATGTTTTCAAATATCATCCCCATGCTAGATTTAGTGGGGACACCCATAGATAGATTAGGTTTAGAGATTGCAGAGATATATAAATTGAAGACACTTTAAGAGGTTTTCTATAATAAGAAAATCAATTATTACCTTTGTGAATTATCTGCTATTTAGGTTCTACTTCTAAAGCGACATTTGAAAAATCAGCTACTCTAATAAACTGATGATAAACTGACAGATGTACAGAGTGAGATAAAAAACTGCAACAAAGTCAATCGCCAAAACTTTTAACATTTCTTTTTTTTAAATTTTATTGAATGAAAGCAAAAAATGTCGGAAATAGCATCAAATTTTAGAATAGTTTCGATTTGTTCGAATTGGTCACCCTTGCACAGTGGTCGAGGTCGTATGGGAACAGCGGCCAAAAATACTTTCAGTGCACATATCAATATGAATCTTTGGTTATGGTACCTTGATGGGATAAAAATAAAAAATGTGACAAAATGGATATGGTCGATGCATGTTTTGGCATGGTCCCCTTACAACGTACCTCCCGAATAAGGGTTATTTGCCCAATTCTTGTCACATTTCTACACCAGATTATAATGTGATTTGACATTTTACGTTCTAAGGAGTTAAAAAATAATCTTACTGAAAATTATTGGAACGGCCTGCCTCTACCTGCGGGTCCCCCCGTAAAGATACCTCCAAAAATAGAAGTATTTTTTATATAAATCAATTCCAAATTTGATTTTTTGTAAAATAAAATAACAATTCAATATAAAATTAAATCAAATTTAAATTTTGCACAAATAATTTGTTTGACCCAAGGCCCGATTGAAATTGTAGATAATCGGTCAAAATTTAGGTATAGCTCCCATATATATTTTCATCCAATTTGCCTTTTATTGTGCACCAAACGTGTAATATTAGCCAAAATTAAAGGGAATTTGGTATTTACGGCCAAATTGAGTCCGAAAACCAGTATGTCAAATTTGGTGGAAATCGATTCAGATATAGCTATAGCTCCCATACATATTGTTCATCCGATTTGTTGAATTTGCTCTGCATAGCCGTAATGTGGACTCCGTAGTAACGATATTCGGGGCAATATATCAAATACAGCTCTGAAATACCCTTGTCAAATTTTATCGAGTTCGGTTCAAATTTAGATATAGCTCTTATATATACCTATCCGATTATAAGATAATTCTGTACCAAATGGATAATAAAAGCCCGAATTCAAATGGCGCAAATGTCTCGACAAATTTAGTAGAAATCGATTCGGAGGAGGATATTCCTCCCATATATTAGATTCATTGGACTTTTTATTATTACTGTAATCATAGTTGGTATGATTTAATTCTCACAAATTCCCCATTAAAACCTTTATTTGTTATGTGAGGCTCTACGAAATATGCAAACTTTACTGGTTATTGTTTGGTAACGTTCGCTGTCCCGTTATAAAAGGGTCAGAGCTCAGAAGAAGACGGTTAATAAGATCTGTGTTTGTTGAAACACAAGACTTTTTCGGGTATGATTTAGTCGAAACTTTTTTATATCTTTGTTTCTAGACTCCACGGCCTCCTCCTATAATTATCTAATCTATACAATGACAAATTTCTAAAGTCGGGTGCATGTATTAAAATTTTATGAACTGAGGGTGGAAGATAGTGCCATGGATATCTATTAGTTAACTCCTTAGGAGTTTCCAGTGCAAAGGCCTTAAATTTTTCGGCATTAGTCAGAAGACAATGCTTGCAACATTATTGAAAACCCCTCAGTTACATCCTTATCAATCCCAAACAACAAAAACATATTCTATGTCACTAGCACCATAGAACTGACAAAATTGCAGCGAAGTCACTTCAGTATATTGGGCATAACATACAAATCTGACAAAATCTGAAAGCTAAATTAGCACTTTTAGAATCTTAGGGCCATTACTATTGGAATGAAAAAAATCACATTGGAGGATTCAGGGGGGAAAACAATTAAAACTTTACCTGAAATCCAATTTTATTTTCAAAATTAATCTTAAAGGCAACTCAGATCACTCACATCTTCTATATTATACACAACTACTAAACAGACAAATTACTGCACTAAAAGTAAGTCAATACCTTGCTTTTCAATAATAATGCCAAGATTTGTCGTTTTAAAATGTATTTAATTTTGTAATACAGTTCTATTTTTACTCCACTTTTTCACTGATCCCACTGAAAAAAGCAACTAACTACATTTTCTCTTTTTTGATGCTATTCTCGAAGTGGGCCGTTAGAATGAAGTCAAGATAATTATGTTTTCTAAAAAGCTTAACCCCTTAAGAGTTCAGGTGTACACATTTGACAATGAATATCTGATTTTCATTTTTTGAATTTTGGCCAATGGCAGCGACCACTGTGCCTTGGCACGAATTATGGTCAATGAAACCGTCACATGCTGCCCGAATGTTGCTCTGCGGTATTTTGGCCCATTCCCGGCGAAGCGCTTGCTTGCGGCGGTGATCGACACTTTGGTATTTTTCAGAGCCAAACTTGCTTTCCAAAATACTCCATACACAATAGTCCAACAGATAGGTATCCGAAAATTTTGGTGGCCGGTGGCTGGAAATTAAGCGAGGAATCTAATTTTGTAACCATTCTTGGGTGCGATGGTGCTGAGTCCTGTTGGAATGTTCAAGACATGCGGTCAAAATGTTTGCGTGCCCAAGGCTTTAATACTCACTCCAGAATATTTGGCGTTTATTCTGATGCCAAAGTCGTTTAACCACGGTCGTTCCAGCCAAATATAAAGAGATCACACTATCACGCTTAATTTCCATCACGAATAACTTTTTTTCTGGAAAATTCTTACCAAAATGCTTTTGTACGCTTGTAAAGAATATAATGGGCAGTCACTGGAATAATTTTAACAGCTCTCGGACGAGTGGCTTAGAAATTACAGCAGTCTGAAGTTGGTTGCAGTTTTTTCATCTCACCCTGTATACACTCCCTAGCCATTGGCCAAAGGTATAAAAAAAGCAAAAAATTGATGAAGTTTTTATTTGAATTGATAGTACGGTTTATATGTTTCAAGATTATTTCAAGCAAATGTTGACCACGACTGGTCCTCGTCGGTATAAACATGAACCAACAAAAATAGTCTAAAGGCATTAAAAGCTCTTGCATTTTCGCAGTGAAAGTGGGATATTGTCTCGCGGTAGCGCTCACTATTGAAAGTAACATTACGATTTGAAGAAGGTAGGGTCCAATGTTGTCACCAGCCCGTACACCGCACCAAACTCTAACTTTTTCTGAACGCAATGCTAGGCTGATCTACACTTCAAAATCGATAATTTTGCTTTTTTACTTAACCAGTGAACCGCTTCAGGAGGTCGATTAAGTTGACCATAAAGTGGAAGAAGCGCACAATGAACATTCGTAACATAGCACACCTTTTGATAATAAAATTCAATGATTTGCAAGCGTTGTTCGTCTACGATTCATGGTAAAATTATAAAACAAAATGAAGTTGTTTGATAGGGGAACAACACACGAAACGTGTGTGAGCTTTTTAAACCATTGTTGTCAAAAATATATTAGCTAAAAAAATCGCCCTTTATATTGCTGTTTTAATTCGTTTTTATTTTTTTCTATTATTTTGTCATAGGTCCTGGTTTTGCAATATATGCTTTAGATAAACTATAACAATTTTCCACTGGTTGATTATTGCTAATGACCTCCAACTAGCTTCTGTTAGGCAAGCAGGCCTACTTTCTCAACATCATCCACACTAAGTAACTTCCATTGTTGCATGTCATATTATAATAGTTATTAAAGAAAAAAAACAGTGAAATGCAAATGTTTATTTTTAATATCTAGTATAATATTGATTTTTCTTGTTGTTGCTGTTGTTGTATTTGTTTGTATATATTGCTACATTTACTCTATACTAAATAACGATTGTTGCAGTAGCAACAAATTAAACTATTTTTAGCATTTCGGTCGCTGGCAGTGCGCTGTGCGGCATTGCTTGCTGTTATGCGTTTCGAGTGCTGGTAGTCGAGGCGACTGCATCGCGATATAAAATCTATGATGAGAGTGCCACAATTTGTTAATGTATACGGTGCGGTGTATGCCACCAGATAGATGAAGAAGATGAAGCGTATACAAAATGGTATATTTTTCTCATTTTTGTTTCTATCTTTTGCACAAAGATTCACAGCCGATTAACGCTAAGTAGCCGGGGTGGATAGATAATAGTTGGTAGGTGAGGTTGTTGTCTTATGATGCAAGAAGAAATTAAGAAACCAATGATGCCACCATC